CTTCTGGCATGGAAATGAAGCCCACTCCTAAGGTCCTGGGTCCAGTCCCCAGAATCAAAACCCAAAACCAAACATCTTGTCAACCCAGCCCAGTCTGACTAATTATTTGGGCTTTACAGATGGATAAACTGAAGAGGTGCAGGGCACACCTGTATGCACGGCACAACGAGGTCCCCTACGTGCCAGGGCTCCCCTGTGCTGCAGCCACCCAGCTTTCTGGAAAACTTTTTCCAGAGAGCTTGGTTTTTCCATGCCAGGGCCCTGCTCATGGCAACTACCCTGCAGTCATAGCAGGGATCAGGAGCCTGCCTGGAAGGTGTGTCGGGGCCTGGGAGTGGGGAGGTATTCCCTGCTGTGTGTCTAAACCCTTTTTTTTCCCCTTAATCCTCACTCACCCCCTCCCATCCACAGAGCTGCAAATCTACTTCCCTCTCAAGAAGTCCATAGTTGTTTAACAGGGCTCAACAAAACTGCAGTTCCATGCCTCAGATCACCCACCGTTCCATCCCTGATGCCTAGATGTGTGCAATGCCATAATGCTACTGGGAAAAGAGGCCTAAAAGTATTGATAGTGACTTAAGAAATGATGATATATAACTGGCCTAGGACAGATGTGACAACTGTGGTTCCACAAGGTGAAGGGAGGTATTTTGAGTCCCATAGGAAATAAACGGCTCAGCCCCACTGCAAACTACCCTGCCACGCCCTGTGAAGCAGACAGCAGAGCCCTGTTGCTTTAGATTTGACTTCTGGCACTGGTCTTCAGGTTCAGTCCTGGTGCCTGGGGTTCCTACGTTTATGTTGTCAAAAGGAAAACCCCAAAGGTAATGACGACAGTCAGAAATGGGGTCTGCATTTGAATACGGATCTAAAGACGGTGAGAAGCCTGGCTCTTCCCCTTGGGGAGCCCTCACACCTGCGGTGGGGAGGATCCTGCCGAGTGGTAGCTTCTGCGGCCTTCTCTCATCACTCCCCAAGCACCCTGGCTGGCCTTGGGGAGGATAGAAGCAGGCTCTGCCCCACGTCACCGCACAGTTCAGTCTCTCTCCCTCTTCCCCTCAACTGCAACAGTAAGGTGCAGAAACAACTGAAGCTGAGGGTTCAGGGTTTCAGGAAGCCCTGTAGGGCTTTGGCAAAGGCTCCTCCTCTGCATCCCACAGGTTAGAGGTCCAGAATTCGACAATTATGTTCCCCAAAGGGGACCCTGAATCCCAGTACCTCACTTCTCTGCTGTGTAACTCCGAAAGTGACTTCTCTAAGTGCCTGGGGGTATGTTTGGCCTACTCGAGTTGGATCTGCCCACACCAACTCCGTACTGCACAGGTAAGAAACATGAGCTCAGAGAGGAGCAGTTTTGTGCTTGAGGTCACACAGCGAATGTCCGGGGGGTGGAGAGCGATGTTGTGGAATTCCTGGCGGACGTTGGCGCCCGCTTGTCTGCCCGCTTCTGATACCCGGGTTCGGGAGAATAGGCCGCTAACAAGCGGCCCATTAGAAGGAATTGTCACTCCTCTGGGAGTGAGGTTGTCCCATTAGGGCGAATTGTCATTCCTCCTGGAGCGAGGTTGTCCCGGCTCCGCCGAGGCTGAGTGCCGGGGCCGAGAGCAATTAACGCGGCTCCGGCGCGGGCAGCCGCCTCTGCCCCGGGCAGCGGGGGCGGGGCGCCCGGCGCGGCTGGAGCCGGTCACCCGGCGCAGCCCCTTCCCCCGAGCCCGCCTTTCATCTCCCCGCGCCTGGCGCCTGCCCGCAGCCCTGGCCCGTCTACGGCCCCCTTCGCAGCCCCTCCCCCGCCGCCTCCTCGCCTCCGGGATCCCGCGATCGGTCCTCGCGGTTTTAGACGCTGCGGTCTGCGCGCAGCGCTCCTCAGTTTGCGAGGGGTCTGTCTCCGGAATCTGGGCGCGCGTGCGCAGCGGCTCCGCGACCCGCTGGGGCTCAGCGCGAAGCCCCCGGAGCGAGGGGACTAGGAGGGCAGGGGACCCGCGGCAGAGGCACGCGAACTTGAGGAGACTCGCGCGTCTCCCAACTTCTACCTGCGTGACCTTGGGCAGCGCGTTTAACGAGTCCTGTTCTAGGGCTTCTGTAAAATGGGGAAAACAATCTGCGCCCGAAGCGGTGTATTGGAAGAAACAAACACACTAGCGAACAAGTCTCAGTTCTAAGCACCGTGCAGTTCATTCTCCCTGGCGGCTGAGTTCCGATTAGAATCCCGTTTTCTTGCTTGCACATCCGACAGCCACGTAAACACGACTCCTCTACCAGGAAACAAGCGTTTACAGAGCATCTCTTAGGTGTCAAAGCGCGTCTTCTGATGAGGAACTGTACTCAAGCCAGGAAACAAACAAACAGTTCTCAGCCCTGGAGATTTTACAAAGTCCCAACTGTAAGATCCGTGAAGGTTGGAGATGGGCCTTAGTTTTTGAGCCCGGAGGGGAGAAAGCATTGAACATTTTTTTTTTAATATCCAAAAATACTTTTTAAGTTGGTCCCCTATGCCTTCTGGTTATTTTATGAAACCTATTGAATTTAATGACCACAAGAGCCCATCCCAGGTAGGAATTACCTTTCATTTTAGAGATTAAAAAGAAACAAAAAATTAAGCGGAAAAAAAAGCAAAGTAGCGTTCCCAAGGTCCAGCTGTTCAAAAGGCGCTAAAGTATTCTGAGGGCCTAGCCGCCCTGGGGAGCGAATGCACACACGGGGCTTCCCATGAAGAGATGGCAGCCCACTTGAAGCTTCAGCCTTCCAGAAGCGCTGGAACAGACAGTTCAAAAAGAAGACCTTTCCTGAAAGGTCTGTGCCCCAGCAAAAGATGGGAAAGGATCTCCTCTTGGTCCTATTCATGGCAAGAACCTGGCTCTATGGTTATTAATTTAATTATTTTAATTTTTTCTATTATTTTCCTTTCTGGCTTTATACTTTTTGTTCTCTGCCTGGACACCAAGACTAGTAGCATAGAGAGAAGCTTTTCCACTCCTAGAGAAGTTTATCAAAATAAAAGCACACCCATAGAATATGTTTCTTTTCTAACTTCCCAGGAATGAGCCCCTGTGTCCCTAAGCAGATCAGTATTAACAATGAGTTTTCTGGGAAAATTGTAGCACATTTGGCTGAGTTCAGCTCAACTGAGAGTTGCACATTTTTGTACAGTTTGGCATCTGAGGGCTAAACGAATTTGAAATTCGCTTCCAAATTATGTAGCCAGCACCTTGTCTCTTGCATCTAGAAGGCACAGAACTTAGTCTGGATTTACCTGTACAGTATTTGAGATGCATATCAAGCCAACTATCATCAAGTATGACTCAAGGGAAAAATGCATATATCTCAAGATAACCTTCATAGTTGTTTTTAAAACTTTCTCTGAAATCCCAGTTTGTTTAAAAAGAAGAGGAAAAAGAGGAAAAGAAGGGTAAGGAGAAGGACAACAGCCTTTTTCTTGCAGTGGAGAGAGATCCACAGGTTTTTAGATAACAATGGTTACAACTTCTTTACTCTAACGTTTCCAGGACCAAATTGAAGTAGTTGGTTACTAAAGACTCATTCTGATATTATTTCTTTCCTTTTACCGGGACCCGCCCAGTTTCACTTCAGGCAAATGTCTGTGAAGGAAAGCTTCCCAACCTTGCTTCTTTCAATAGTTTAAAACACTGTCATTTCCTTCCAAAGCCCTAGAAAGTTTGGGAAGAACTGGTTGTGTACTTTCATGAGCACGATTCAATTGACACCTCGTCCCTCTCGGGACAATGGTTCAGCTATAGGAAAAGTAACTGCCACGTGTAGCGTCACCTGAAGAACACATTGGGCCAGCGGCCTTCGGAGTCGGCGGAGAGATTCGAGGTCTCTGCATTCTCCATACTTGGGCTGAGACAGTCATCATTAAAGTTTTGGGGCTCAATATTAAGGATATAATTTGAGGTGGGTTAAGGATATCTATGCATTTTAAAATTTTCATTTTGTTTTCTTTTTCTCAAGGTAGAGTGAATAAAAATGTGATTTCTAAAAGGACTCAGGCCTGGGTGTGCTAATGTAGAACTCGGTCTTTCTGAGACCTCGAAGAGGGATGAAGGCACAAAATATTGTTATGAGTGACATGTCCTCCCTCGCCTTCACCTTCCAAAGCAAACAGTGGCACATAGACACACAAAACAAGCTCAAAAGCAAACTGACAGACAGGCTTAGCATTCAGTAGTCTCCAGATGCGGATCTCTGCGGAAAGGGGATTCTGGGGCCGAGAAACATGGGGTTTCCGGTTTCTAAAAGCTCTGTGCACTGGCATCGCGGCGGGAGCTTAGCACGGGTGTATGCAAGTGGAGGAGACCGGGCTGCTGCTTAGCTTCTTTAGGATGAATTATTTGGGGAAGACAGCCCCTGGCTACCTCTAGACTCCCTGTTCCCCTTTCCTCGAAGAAGAGAGTTATGCTAATAGCGGAGGCCGTGGGACACTCGCAAAGGACAAGATACCGCACTTCTCAGAGCCACGCAGGTTACTCGCTTCAGCAAGGACGCTGGACCGGGCTTTTCAGCGCTGTTTGCAAGAGCTGTAAAGTCAGGCCAGTTGGTGTGCATAGTAGGAGTTTCATCAACGTCCCTGCAATGTCAACTGTGGATTTTAAGCATATTCAGGCGGTGGTTCTGGCACAGTGGGGTGGGAGTGAGATGTCTTTTCAAGAGGGGTCAAAGAAAAGAAATGGGACTCAGCGAACTTCCTCTTTAAATAATCGGCCTTAATTACGCCTTGGATTTTTCAGTTTTGGCGTGATTATAACCCTTGAGGGATCGCGTAATAACAACTCTGCTGACTGCTCCTGTAATTAACTCCTAATTTATTTCAAACAGGGAGGAAAAAAAAAGAAAAAAAGAAAAAAAACCTCCAGCCTCTTCTGGAAGAACCAATCAGAGGCGAGCGTCTGTAGCGTCATCGCCAGAGCATGAGAGGATTGGCTGCTCCGCGTCTCCCACTTCCCTTTGGAGGAAAGGCTCGGCTCCCAGCGCGTCCCTCACGTCTCCCCCCCAAAAAGTTTGAGTTGCAGCTGCGGGGCTGCCAGCGAGTCGCGCGCCCGGAGCTACGCAGGGCAGAGAAGTCATGGCTTCTCCGTCCAAAGGCAATGACCTGTTTTCGTCCGATGAGGAGGGCCCGGCCAGGGTGGCAGGGCCGGGCCCCGGGCCTGGGGGCGCCGAGGGGGGCTCCGAGGAGCGCCGCGTCAGGGTCTCTAGCCTGCCCTTCAGTGTGGAGGCGCTCATGTCCGACAAGAAGCCTCCCAAGGCGGGGTCTCCGCTGCCGGCCGAGAGCGCCTCAGCTGGGGCCAGCCTGCGGCCGCTGCTGCTACCAGGACACGGCGCCCGGGAGGCGCACAGCCCCGGGCCTCTGGTCAAGCCCTTCGAGACGGCCTCAGTCAAGTCGGAGAATTCAGAAGACGGAGCGGCGTGGATGCAGGAAGCCGGCAGATACTCGCCGCCTCCGAGTGAGTGCGCGCCGGGATTGGGACTGAGCTGAGACCGGGCTGGATAGCTGGTGGGAGCTGAGTACTGGGGTTCAGGCGGGGTTATGAGGCCCCTCCGCGCTCACTGTACGCTGGGGATGCGAGCTTAGGAGTGCTTGATCTCTGGGTACCCGAGGAAATCAGCCTGCCGTCCGCATCCGGGGTGCTCTCCGGGGAATCTCGGTGCTCTGCATGTCCCTGGCCCCCACGCTGCGCAAAGTGCTCAGCACCAGGGCGGACTCGCTGGTCTCTGAGCAGCAAACCCCAGCGGAGCTAAGGGGTCACTCGGAGTGAGTCTGCAGCCTCAGACTCAGCCCTGTGCTCCGGCCACTGGGTTAGTTTTTGTTTCAGGGTCCACGGGATCTCCCCCTGGGGAGTGAGGGAAGTCCATGGTTAGTGAGAGCTTAAGTCAGGACTAGACATAAGCTTGACCCTGCCTAGCTTACCGTGCTTTGAAACTACTCGTAGCCCTTCGAAGTACACTCCCATTTTAAAGATGAGGTCGTTGACGTCTATCTAACCAGAAATTCAGTGGAAATCATTGCTTTTCATGGGACTCGGCTGGTGAAGAAGCCAGATCCCAAGAATAGATGGTGGCAGAGACAGGAGCAGAAAAGAAACGTCACCGTCTTCACAGCGAGCAACTGGTTGGCGAAGTTCTACACTTCGCAGGGAGCGGGCTGGACTCATAGTAATAATTAGAAGCATTCCAGCAGGGTGAGAATTTATGAGGAGATGCAGATCCTCCCTAGTGCCCTGCAGATAGGAAGAGGCTTATAACCAATGTCTACCCCCATTTTTAGAGATGGATGCTTAGGCTTTTTATGAGGGCCGCACTTGCTTGCTTGGCTGTGGTGAGGAACAGCCCTTACACTGGACACGGGGACCTTGTGTCCAAGCCCTGCCCTTGATTGCAGTGCGCTGGTCTTCCTTGACCCATCTCCCGGAAACCAGGTCCAGGTGCATGCGCACCCCATTTCTAGAAACTGTCTCTAGATGTAGCATCTATCTTAGGGCCTTGGCTCCTTAATTTTGAGAATCCATTCCCGATCATCCTTTTAGGTCCATATCTTCATCTTTGTATTTTTTCTCTGTGCTTTTTCCATCTCCTTCCTTGACAGACACCTCCTGAACTTTTAAGGAAGGACAGATAGAGGGTCTGTGGATGGCGAGAACCTTCTTTGTGTTTCCATTATTTAGCTGAAAAGACTGGAGGTGCACAATATTTTGTGAACAAAACAAGACACCCAGGCGTCAGTGGCTGTCCCCTCCGGCAGTCTCTCTCCACCCTGCTGGAAATTCTGAAAGACTCAAAGGGTGAGGAGATTAAGGACTCAAAGAATTTAAACTCAAGTTTGCACAGCGCTTTACAGCACTTTTCACCATATTATCTTATCTGATTTCCTTTGTACCGCAGCAGCCGGCCTCTTGTTAACAGATGAGCATTTCAGCAGAGTTCAGAGGGATCAGCAGTTTGGGCCCGACAGCCAGTTTGGGGACATTTACAGATCACCTACCAAGTAACAGAAAGGTCTCTGGGCATTCTCAGATGGGGTACTCGAAAACCACTCTGAGAAATAGGTATTATTTACCCATTTTACCAATAGTGAAATAAAGGCTTACAAGTATTAGGACTAAGCACATTGCCAAATGTTAAGTGCATGTGTATCCTGAGGCCTGGGGCAGTGTTAGCAGCACATCAAAGATTCTGGCCTTAAATGGAATAATAGTCAAAGGTCAGAAATCCTGACATCCTCACTGGGGAGCAAGCAACTCCAACTATTCCTGAAACCATCTCTGATTTTTACTGTAGTTTCTCTGTCCTCGGGAAGGCAACTTTGAACCCTGGGTAGTACCTTTCCACAAGAACTGGACAGTACAGTATTAGAAAAGATACAATTTAAGACAGAAGGGTTGATGGTACTTTAGCCCCAGGAGGGCTCACAGGAGCCCAGGGATCTGGTAGCAGGGTGGGACAGGGAGTGCCTAGCGACCACGACCATTACAGAGCCTGGAAACTAGGGAGCCACCCTCCTGGGGGCCTAGTTTTGTTATTCCAAGGAAGTAAGATAAATGCTGTTTTGCCTTGAGTAATCGCATCCTTCCTTTGGCTAGTTTAAAATGGGAGTGGGGAGGGGTGGAGAATGGTGCTCTGCAAGGAAACCTCATAGTTTTATGGCTTTGATATACAGATCCCCATCGCCTGACTTTCATAATTCCAGTGCGGTCCCTCAGAGCAGCTAGAATTACCCTGCCCAGGTGCTTAGATGGTTCCAATCCATATGTATGTGCCGCAGGGATCGAAGTACAGAGTTATGTCCTAGGTTAGGGAAGGTAAGAATTTTACAGTTCTCTTAAGAGTTCCACATGGTGTTAGCAAGTTTTAAAATAAGGAAATAGGTTCCTCTGCTCTCCACCTTACTTAGATAGTAGCATATGCAAAGGTCTAGATTTTTATGGGAGTTTTTAGCCCATCTTACTCCCAGATGTCTGCTCTTAAACAACAGAACCTATCGGTCTTATTTTTTGTGTCAGTGAAGTGATGTTAATGTGACACTAGGACAGGTCTGTCTCTTGTTGGAAATAGAGGCTGGGTTGGGACTTGTGCTGTGTCACTCTGGAGTATGAAGTGTGAACTCTTTCTTGGGCCACTAAAGTAACTAAACAAGAAATGTGGCATTCTCCAGTGAGTACACTGGAGTTGCTACTGTGGCAGCTTTTGGAAAATTATCAGTAGCTCATAAAAGCCAAATGCAGAACATTAATTGTTTAGCACTCTATTCCTGGGGCTCTATGCTCCTCCCCCTCTCCTTGAAAACAAGCCCTAAGTTAGTTGACACTGGAATCATCACCAGCATGTCCTCGTCCTATGACTTCCTATAATTGAATCCATTTTAAATGTGGAGTCTGGATGCTGCTGCCATACTTTTATTTTGCTTGTTACTCCCCACTTCGAAATTCAGGAGACAAACTAATCATTTACACATTTGCCCAAAACCATAGAACGAGTTGAGGAGATGACGAAAATGTCATCATGTGCTCTCAATTCGGAGGCAGCATGATTTCCCCTGACATGTACATTTATGGGCGAGCTAATTTTTCCCTCCGCCTTAGTAAAGTTTATATTACTGAAGCACCCAGCCAAGAAACTTAACCCACATCCAGATCTGTAAAATGATGTCCGGGTTTTATAATCTGTAGACTGCATGGAATGGCAGCTGTGTGGTTGGTTATTGCCTAGGTCTGCCCCCACATCCAGAGATGCCATTAATTTACCACAGACCTTATCTGCCTGATTATTTTTCATATATATGCTGATGCAATCCAACTTTTTCTGCTTCAGAGAGGGGACCAAGGGAAACGGCAAACTTTTTTTGTGGTGTGTGTGACTGTCACAGCTTTGGCAGAGGTATAGATAATCCTGAGCCCAGCCTGTCCTTTTAAAGCCCAAGAGATCAGATTCATGAAGTTTTATTTCTCACCACGCTCAGCTCCCCTGACTTAAGAGAATTTTTGTGTGTGAGTTCTATTTCCATTATCACTAATGCTGTTTGTTATCCAGAGAACATTCCTTAACACACATTCCCAGAGCAATTTTTTAAAGAAGCAATTTGTCTAATTAAATTTTGTCCTCAACCTCCCTCACCAAAACAAAACAAAAAAGTTTACAGAGGTACCTTTATGAAAGATGAAACAAAATATGTGTGTATATGTAAACCAAGTGTTTTCAGTTGAGACAAGATCTGCACAACCTGGAGAGAAGCCCACCTTTGCTAACTTGAGTCCCCTCTTTGTCCTCTAGGACATATGAGCCCCACCACCTGTACTCTGAGGAAGCACAAGACCAATCGGAAGCCACGCACACCTTTCACCACATCCCAGCTCCTAGCTCTGGAGCGCAAGTTCCGCCAGAAACAGTACCTGTCCATTGCAGAGCGGGCAGAGTTCTCCAGCTCTCTGAACCTCACAGAGACCCAGGTCAAAATCTGGTTCCAGAACCGAAGGGCCAAGGCGAAAAGACTACAGGAGGCAGAACTGGAAAAGCTGAAAATGGCTGCAAAACCTATGCTGCCCTCTGGCTTCAGTCTCCCTTTCCCCATCAACTCACCCCTCCAAGCAGCATCTATATATGGAACATCCTACCCTTTCCATAGACCTGTGCTTCCCATCCCGCCCGTCGGACTCTATGCCACACCAGTTGGATATGGCATGTACCATCTATCCTAAGGAAGGCCAGGTTGACAGACTCCACGATGGACGTTTGTTTCAAAGGGTTCCCCTTTCTCTCCAAGGAGGCTACACTGACCCAGTCCTCCCGCTGTGCAAACCTTGCTTGCACCACTCTGAGCAAGAGCAGCAAGGCTGTGGGCCACATGACATAGATCAAAGTTTGTTCTTTAGGTGGTTGGCACCAAGTCCTGTTTTCTTGGCATAATCTTCCAAATGCCCCCTTTCTCCTTTTACAAAGATTGGCTCTGGCAGTTTTTATGTATAAATATATATAATAAAATATAAGATGGTTTTATACAGCAGACATAAAAATGCCAATTATTTTGAAAGGCAAAATTTATATGCATATATACATTTTTCTATTGATCACCTTCTGAAGAGTGACTGTGTCCATTTATTGTATTTCCTGAAAGGGGGAGACAAATTATTTATGAAAACACTGATAGGATGATTTCCTTTTGCTTGTGGAAAACAAATATTAGAATTAGACACACTGCACATAGGAAGTAGATATGGAGAAGTTCTTTAAGTGGAGGGGTTGGATAACATGTTTGTGTTTTATATACATCTGAAAAATCTCATTAAATACTACCATATTTGGCTCTAATTTTCCTCCCTCTCTATATAGTTTACTTGTAACTTTTTTAAAAAAATCAATAAGAGGGAGATGAAATAAGTTTCAAGAATGCCTCCAGTGGTAGAAAATAGGAATACTTCCTAATCTCTGACAAGGCTATCTTTTAACTACATTTTAGGTAATTGGAGTAAAAAATTAAAACATGTCAGGAGCAATTGATGATTTCTGTGAAATACTAGGTGTGTCAATTCCCGCACATTGCAGTGGTGATTTTTAGGGGGTCACTGGTGTAGTAATATTTCAACTTAAAAAATGAGTATCTTGTAACCATTTACCTATATGCTGAGTACTCCTGAACAATTAATAGAACCAGGAAGGAGGAAAAAAATCATGCTTTCTCTGTGTGTGTGTGCCTATTGTATGTGCTAAACTTACTAGGAAAAATTATATACTTTTTTTTAACATGTTGGGGGCAGAGGGTAAAGTCATCTTTTGACTTGCTAAAATTGGTGTTGTCAGACAGCCCATTTAGCTTTCTGGTGTTTTACCTTCCTATCCATCTCTCACTCCCCCTACCCCCAGTATTTCTATCCCTTTGAAAGGGTACCTTGTACAATTTTATATATTTTATTGAAGAGTTATTTCTTATCTCTTATTCTGAATTAAATTAAACATTTGTTTTATTGCAGTAAAGTTTGTCCCAACTCATAATTATTTTAAAAGGTGCACTTAAACTGAGATTAGACCAAAATTGTCATCCAGGTAAGGGAGAGGGCTGATCCTTTAAATTACTACTTTAATGTAAACCAGTCAAGAGTTAGGGCCCAGTTTGGGGGGCATTTTAGAGACACAGACAAATAGAGACATTTTGAAATCATCTGGTAGCTTGTGTTACTCATGGAAAAGGGATGCAATTGCTCTTACAACTTTTTCAAACTAGTGGAAAATGAATTTATAAAAAGTGTGAGGAAGAGATAAGTTTGTCGATAATGGATTAGAATTTGAAATCTTGCAGATACCAAGACCCATTAGTTAGACTGGAAGGATGGATGCCAGCTGCCATTACAGTAGTATGCGGAGTCCTCGCTGTGTACCAGAGTCTTTAAGACTCCAACAGAGTCTGAAGAGAAAAGGTGGTTCATTTAAGTCCCTATGCTAGGGGAAGCTCAGCGGCAGAAAGTTTGAACTTGGGTTTTGAGGTAACGCCCTTAAAAGGTGATGGATAGAGGAAGCTGAGGACAGACTTAAAATTCAGTTTTCTGTTGCACAAATAAATCATAAGTAGCTACTTATGGTGATTTCTTCGGGGTCTATTTTCTGATGGATGGGATCCCCCTGACCTTGAAAACCAAGAAGAAAGGGTAGCCAGTGCTGGGGGTACTGTACGGTGGCACCTAGTAGGACTGCTGCTTCTACTCCAGTTTGCATTGGGCCGTGAACTATCCCTGCGTGGTGGGGCTCATAGGGATCGAGCCACTTCTAACCTGCAGGAGCAGGATCCAAACCGAGTTGCGCTGGAAATCGGAGGCCTTTCCCGCCGCCTTTACACTTGGGCTTGAGCTGCCCGGGCCCTAACCCTAACCCAAACAGCACCCCTGCCGTCCTACTTGGCCCCTTGAACAAGTCGGAATCCAGCCCTACTCATTAAAGGGAGATGGCGTTTCCCGAAAGCCAAAGTCCTCGGTTTCGTCAGCAGCCTCCAAGGTGGGTCCCTAATTAGCCTGTCCACTGAGCTTCCTTCCCGGCGCCACGCCGACCCGCAGCCCGGGGCAATGTAGGCCGGGGTGGGCAATCCCGAGACACCCGCTCGGGTAAGAAAGGTCCGCAGTTCAGAGAATCGGGGTGTGTCTTGCGTTGTGAGTGGGTGGGTAGCCAACCCCCCAGATCCTGAAAAAAAGCAAAACAAAATAAAAAATACCCACCAAAGCTCGGAGTGGAGGTTGAGTAGTAGTTTAGTCTCCCACGTTATTGGGACCGAACGTTGAGGAGACGTTCGCCCTGCTCTGGGGCTCCTTGCACCGCCCTGGCCTAGGCTGAGTTCGCTGCAGGCTTGGTCAGGCTGACAACCCGCGGCGGCAGATCACCCTCACTTGCCCAGGACCCACGCAGACTCACATTTAAACCCGAAAATATCAGTGTGCGCTCTGCGGACTCCTGGCTTCACTGCCCCCAAAACCACCTGCCCTTTGGCACCCGAAACACTAGCATCCAAAAGGTTGCAGTTAGAGGGACCCACGTTTTCAAAGAAGGGTGCAAAGCATCGAATCACATTTTCATGGAGTTATGGAGACCCTGCTAAGCAGGAACGAGCTATTATCTTCTTGCACGTGCACATGTCCAGACAAACCTTTCCAAAAGGTTTGGTTGAAGGAACTGAGGTTTAGAGGGGCTCACTGAGGTCGCAGAGCTGGGAGGCAGCAGTAGGAGAAGCCAGGCCCAGGCTGAGTACGGGAGGTAGGCATCAGATGTGGCGAGGCAAGCCCATCAGCAAGGACGCAGCCTAGGCCGGGAGTCTGCTCCTGGCTCGCACCTCTCCCTCTCGACTGTGAGGGGCTTCGGCTGAGTGTCCCAGCTTCCCACCACAAGGGGCCAGCGCTCAGCCCTCAGGCCCCTCACTCTGTCCTGGCCGGGTAGGGCAGGGTGGCAGGAGGTAGGCAGCAGGGCCTGGCTGAGAGCGCGCCTTGGAGAAACGTCTGCCTGACCCGACTGAAAAGAGGATCCCTGCCTTTGAGCAGAACCTTGTCTGACCGAATGAAAACTCCCACGGCCATTCTTTGCTATAAAAGCCTCTCATTTGCCACGGGTTGGAGAGGCCATTCCCCTACCCCCATTCTCTTTCTACTGCTGGATTTGAAATAAGCATAAACTTCATTTATAAAAGAACCCACGTTACACACACCCTCCCCAAAATCACAGGGTCTAGTTAGTGAAGTTGATTGTGCCTGTTGCCCCCTTTTATATAAGAAAAAAAAAACTTTTGAGATTGGCAATACACAGCCACTTAATGAAATAAAGTAGTCACCACAAGAAGGAAAAGCCTGCTGTCACCTTCCCTAGAGCCCTTCTTCCACCCCCAGCTATGCTCTCACGTCCTCCCTGCTAGGAGCTTAAATAAAAAGCAGTAAAAACTACTTTCCAAAATATCCTGCTTCAAAGTAGAACAGAGTATTAGGCTGCAGGAATCCTGAGTCCTGCCCTGATAAGGTTCATAATAATCAAATCCAAACTCCATCCACCTCCTCTGACTCTTTCCAACCTCCTCCGACCTCTCTGCATTTGTTGATGAAAACACTTTGATGTCGTGAGTCCTCCAAACAATTATTATTATAATTTTAAACAACCTGGTATTTTCCATTACTAACGGCTCGGGCTTTGAAGTTACACCTCATAATTTCCTAAATTAAATAAATCATTTTAAGTTTGCACTGGGAGGCTTTTAATAGCAGAGAAAGGAATATCATTATCTTATTGAGACCCAATTGTGGTGGCTCCAGTTTGGCTGTAGCTAGGGGCAAAGTAGGCTCAGTCTAACAGACATACTTTATTAACCTCCCATAACTCTTGAAAGAACATTTTTATATTTTCTTTGATTTCCCCCCTCCCTCTCTTGTTTTAAAGCTGTCCCAACCTTTAATTAGTGCCTAATATGAAAAGCATTATTTTTTTAATGCTATGTAATTTACCAGCGGCAACAGGCCAACTTAACAATTGTTTATTAGACTTGGTTTTTCACACAGGGCAAAGAATGCCGCTCCAAACCCAACTTTTCATGGGTGGTTGCACTAATTAATACAGTGTCTGCGGCTCCTAGGGGTTTTTTTAATATTGAAGCCTATGGGGGCGGAAGGGGGTTTTAGAAGTCCAGCGCCTGCCGACGACCGAAGTTCTCTCTCTGATTTCTTTCATGCTGTTTTGATCCTGTCTGAGCAGTCCACACAGACAGAAACTGCTCCCTAGCTCTGGAGTTGATGGGATCTTGAGGCAATGGACCCCGGAACCTCCAGCACCTCACTTGTAATTTATGACTTGTGGAACCCAGGTTGTGGGTGCAGGGCATGTATTGCTCAGTAGGGGGACCCAGGGTGGTGTGGCCTCTCACCCAGTCTGGAGTGGGAAGGAGCTGGCTGTGGGGGTCGAGCTCTGGGGAACCAAAATCAGGTCCCCCAGGCAGCAGGGAGTGTGGCACTGGGCACCGAGCTCTGGGTGTGAGGCAGGCACTTGAGGGTGGAGGTAAAGCCCAGGAGAGACCCTGGCCTGCTTCCTGTCTTTGTGACCTTGGTACTGTATTTCTTCCTTCCTCCATTTTCCTCATTCTTTTGTTTCTTACTTTTCTTTCGTATCCTGTGCTTCTCCTCCCACTTGTTTATTTTCTTTCACGCATTTTTTTTTCACTCTTAAAATTGGCCATACAAATTAACGGCTCTCAGGGAGATACTACACTTTCCTCATTTTCACTGCTTCTCTAGTTTCACATTTTGGGGAGTCTCAGTGTGTGTAACCCTCACTTTTTTTAGTTGTTTCTCTTTTATAACCACCCCCTTCACTCTTTCTAGCGTCAGTCCTACTTTATACCTTTTAATCTCTCTTACTGACCACGATTATTTTTGTGCCCTTTTTCTTAAATCCCTTCCTTTGGCTGCTCCTCTCCGCCTGACACTTTGCTCCTTCATTGCTTCCCTCAACTCCCCCCGCCCCCATTTTTTGATGCCAGTCTCACGGTCCACT